TTTTACCTTAATATTTCATATTCAGTTAAAAAATAACATTGACTGTGGCAAAAAGGTTAACAGTTGTTCTGGATGAATGTTGGGTTATATTATTTCTTCTTCTTTTTTTTTTTTTTTTTTTGGGTCCGGTTGTGGGGCCTGAACTCTGAGCCTGGGCGCTGTCCCTCAGCTCTTCAGCTCAAGGCTAGCACTGTACCACTTGAGCCACAGCACCACTTCCAGCTTTTTTTTTTTTTGCTTATGTGGGGCTGAGGCATCGAACCCAGGGCCTCATGCATACAAGGCAAGCTCTCTACCACTGAGCCACCTTCCCAGCCCCTATTTCTTCTTGTTTGAATTTCAAAACAATAAAAGACCCAGTTAACAAAATTTTTAATAGGTTACATGCAGCCAGTCTTGTGTAAATCTGCTTTTTATTTATTTTAGCAAAACTACATTGTTTAAAACAGTACCTTTTCAACTTTTAAGAAGTATATGCTCTTTTTGTAGGTCTTGGATTCATTCAAGGTTAGTTACAATATAGCATTGTTGGTTAATGTTACCTGTGTATTCCTTTGCATACTGAATATAAATGTCAGAATACCACTACCTGCTGAAAGCTCTATGCTATGCTATACTTAGAATTTAAGGTGAAGCCTGTCAGAATTGAGAATGGTGACATAGTAGTAGTAGCAGCAGGTGTGGTAAATTGACATTGTGCAAGTCTGGTTTGAATGTATTAAATGGGACTGTCACTAGATAAAAGCTAATGGGGTACCCAGATCTAAAGAAAACTTCCTTAAGTTAGTGTCCTTTAGCTTTTACACTTTGAAGTTTAACATTTCATGAAGGCTGTTACTGTAATTTCATGTTTTTGGGTTTTTATTTTATTTTTTATTTTTAGTTCCTACCTTGAACAGAAGTAAATTCAGTTTCTTTTGTTCTTTGCTTTGTGAAGGGCCTTATCTTCTTATATTTAACAATATGCTGATTTAAGTATGGGCAGTGCTCATGTTGATAAGATGCACAGATGCTGTTATTGAATGCAATTATTTTCTGTTACAGAAGGACCATATGGTAGGCACTTGTTTTTCTTTCTGGTTGATGTGATTAGATTACTAAAATAAAAGGTTATTGTACTTAAAGATTGTCTTAGTATTTATCTAATTTTAATGGACTTCAAATTAAATATATAAGCCTATAGATTCTTTGGTTTTTGGAAAGAGAATGTCATGTAAAAGTTCAATTTTAGATTACTTTCACTAAAGTAGATTTGTTTGAGTTGTTATGTTTTCATAAAATGAAATACAGAGTGTCATAATAAAATGTAGAAGGTGACATTTTGTACTTTTAGTTTTTTTTTTTGTCGGTTGTGGGGCTTGAACTCTGGGCCTGGGCATGGTCCCTCAGCTCTTCAACTCAAGGTGAGCGCTCTACCACTTGAGCTACAGCGCCACTACATTTTGTACTTTTAAAACATACTGAACTATAGGTTTAAAAACTTCATGTTATAGAATTTTTATGTATTCTTCCTTTTAGTTATCTATTAATGGGCAAGGGAATTCCACTGTTTTGAGTTGTGAGCAAAAGAAATAGAATATAAATTTGATATTTCATGAATATTCATTTATTTGATGGAAAGTATTTTTTTTTTGGTTTGGTTGGTTGTGGGGCTTGAACTCTGGGCTTGGGCGCTGTCCCTGCACTCTTCAGCTCAAGGCAAGCGCTCTACCGCTTGAGCCACAGCACCGCTTCTGGTTTTCTGATGGTTTATTGGAGATAAGAGTCTTATGGACTTTCCCGCCCAGGCTGGCTTTGAACTGTGATCCTCAGATCTCAGTCTCCTGAGTAGCTAGGATTACAGGAGTGAGCCACCAGTGCCCGGCTTGGAAAGTATTTAGACAGATGAGAGCAAACTGTTTATCTGTTACTAAGGAATGGCAAGTTAAAGACTTTATTTACTTTCCCATATTGACTAGCTGCTGTCGAGTCTTCTGTTTGATACCGGGTGTGTTTTGGATTCAGAAGTGGTTACCTGCTGCCTTTTCCCCTGTTACTTATCTCTGTTTTAAACAGACATCTGGCATAGCTATAAGTAGGGCCAAGTATACTTCATCCATCTCATAACTTAATGAAGATATGGTCTCTTGATTACTTTTAAAAAAAGTTTACTTCTGTGATCTTAAAAGAACCTATATTTGTAATAATGTCTTCTATATTTATAAGGCAAAGGGTTCCCTTAGACCAGTAGATACAAAGCTGGATTTAAGGGTACATTTAGATGTTTCTTCTGGATGTGGGTAGATATAATATTGGACTAATGGAGACATTTGTTTTAGCCTGGAGTTAACTAGATACACTTTTCATTTTATTTTGTTTTATTATAAAGGTGATGTACACAGGGGTTACTATCACTTAAATCAGGTAAAGAGCACATTTATTTTTGAACAATATCACTCTTTCCCTTTCTTGCTCTCTTAGATATCATTTTAATACAGCATTTTCAGTCCTTGAAATATAGACATCATTTAATCAGTATCTTCCAAATAAGATTTCATATTTAAAAGGACTATGTAAGCTTCATCAGTGAAATCTACTTTCTTATATTAGGTAACATAGTTGGTACTGGTAGATGGGTATCTAGTGTAGTTTAGAACTATATTATAATGCCTTTTGGAAGTTGTTTTTCAGGCTTATTATTATTATTATTTTTGCATTACTGGGGTTTGAACTCAGCATCACACTTGACTTGGCTAGTGCTTACCACATTGAGCCATTCCTCTACCACCACTTTTTGCTAGCTATTTTGGAGATAGAGTCTAGTAGACTTTTTTGCTGTATCTGGCTTCAAACCATGATCCTTGAGCTCTCCGCCTCTTGAGTAACCAGGATTATAGGCATGAGTGACAGGTGCCCAGCTTACAGTTTACTTTTTTTTTCTTCGACACAGAGAAACATTAATAAAGAATGTTGAGATAAGCAAACCAATTTAAACACAAAAATGTTTTTCAACCTGATAATTATTACACTAAAACAGATTGGACAAACATTCACAGGAATTATATTTTACAGATCAGTTTACTTTTTAAAAAAGAATTTAACAGAGTATCATAGACTTTTTTTTTTTGGTCGGTCGTGGGGCTTGAACTCTGGGCTTGGGCGCTGTCCTTGTGCTCTTCAGCTCAAGGCGAGTGTTCTACCACTTGAGCCACAGTGCCACTTCCGGTTTTCTGGTGGTTTATTGGAGATAAGAGTCTCACCAACTTTTGTGCCTGGGCTGGCTTTGAACGGTGATCCTCAGCTCTCAGCCTCTCCTGAGTAGCTAGGATTACAAGCATGAGCCACCAGCACCTGGCTAGACATGCTTTTTTTGGTCCATAGATTGTACAGGTAGAACTTGCTCAATTTGTAAATGGAGGAAAAGAAAACTATAAGGATAAGCCAAAGCTGTTTTCAAAGGTTGTAATGTAGAAAAGAAATTAGATTTATTTTGTATGGCTATGAAAAGCAGAGCTAGGACACACACACATACACACACACACACACACACACACACACATACACACACACACACAGAGCAACACACAAGAGACTCTTTATATTTACATTATGAGAGATTGCAGAAATCAATCTAACATAAATCTTCAGTGATAAATTGATCATTAGGAAAACAATCTTCCCTGCATCTCCTTCCTTATTTATCACTAATAATATTCTATCTCTGACCATTGAATCCTTTGTTTTTCATACTCTGGTTGTGACATGCATTGGGTAATATGATGCAGAAACATTGCATCTTAAATGCATTGTCTAAGTCCTGGTCTACAAGAGAAGAGGGATATCTTAAAGTTAGTGAAACTGATGGAGAAGCAAATCCTTTGACAAAGGATCTGACCAAGTGATACAAGTTAACAAATGAAGAAAATGTAAATGAGGTTGATAGGTATCTCGAAGGTGAATGTGTAGAATTCCAAGGATTAGAAGAAGCTTTAGAGAAAATAGCTATCTTTGAATGTGATTACATATATAGTGTATTCCTTGTCTTATAAAAGTGAAGTTTAGTTTAGACCTAAGACTTGCAGCTCTTGATTGCCAAGAAATTCTTGGCCCACATAAGTGGACATGGATGTATAGGTAAAAGAAGGAATGGTAATGGAAATTTCTTATTTTCTTATAGGCAGTGCTATCAATATAGCTAATAGAAAATCTTAACCTTTCCAATTGACTTGGAGATGAAACTGTTCCTGGGGTCGTGTCTTAAATGGTGTGTAAGTCATTCTTAGATGGTCCTGTGGTTCTGAAATTTGAGCTATTATTTCTGACCCTCATGAATCTTTTGCTGTATAAGACTACCACTGATACCTTACCAAATGTGTAATTGACTGAAATAAAATAAAAACATGGTGTAGACATAGTGGGAGAGACTGGGAACCCATCAAGTCATCTTTGGGATGGTTAAGCCAAACTAGCTTCTAGGTAAGATATTGAGAAGCATAGTTTAAGTCTACTAGAAATGCATCTGCCTGAAACATTAGGTATATGGTTTGATCCAGTTTAGGTTAGGAGCCTAGAAGAATTATTTCTCTTTGCTTAACTTTGACTGCCACCCTCCCTACTTACTCTTCAATGTCTTTATTTGATCACTATAATCTTTAGTCTTAACTTTGTCTTTCAAGCAGATTATTCAGACATTGTGTTTGGATTGATTGAGATCTGTACAAAAGAAGTACATAGTTATTTAAAGACTTAAAATGTCCCTGTACATTCAGGGAGCACAATGATACTGCAAACCATGTGGCTTAGATTGTGAATGCTGTTTGACTTCTCCATGCTGTGTTGAAATGTTAGCTTTTTTTTTTTTTTTTGGGGGTCCGGTTGTGAGGCCTGAACTCTGGGCCTGGGCGCTGTCCCACAACTCTTCAGCTCAAGGCTGAACTCTGGGCCTGGGCGCTGTCCCACAGCTCTTCAACTCAAGGCTAGCACCACAGCGCCACTTCAGGCTTTTTTTCTTTTTGCTTATGTGGTGCATATGGGAATCGAACCCATGGCCTCATGCGTGCAAGGCAAGCACTCTACCACTGAGCCACGTTCCCAGCCCCCTCCCTGAGCTTCTTTTGCTCTACCACTTGAGCCACAGCGCCACTTCTGGCCTTTTTTGTTTATGTAGTATAGGGAATTAAACACAGGGCTTCATGCATGCTGGGCAAGCACTCTACCACTAGGCCACACTCCCAGCCCCGAGTAACTATTTCTATTTTGATTAAAACATACAAAGATGAAATAAAAAACCTGAGACTATAAAGAGGTAGAGACTAAACTATTGGAAAAGGCATTTAATGCTAAATGAATGCTAAATACTATGTTTTCTCTTTAACTCTCATACTCTCCAAACATTTTTCTAAAAAGAAAGAAAGAAAAATACCTTTAGCTTTTGTAATTCTTTTTTTTTTTTTTTTTTTGGTCCAGTCATGGAGCCTGAACTCTGGGCCTGGGCACTGTCCCTCAGCTCTTCAGCTCAAGGCTAGCGCTCTACCACTTGAGCCACAGCGCCACTTCTGGCTTTTTTCTTTTTGCTTATGTGGTGCTGAGGAATCGAACCCAGGGCCTCATGCATGCAAGGCTAGCACTCTACCACTGAGTCACCTTCCCAGCCCTAGCTTTTGTAATTCTTAGTATCTAATTTCAGAACTTAAAAAATAGTTGAGAATTACTGTTTCAGAAATTTAAACTTTTAAGCTTTACAATTAATTTTTCTCTCAACCAACTTTTATTTTAGCCTAAGTAGTTTGGCAGAAAATTGTAATAATTTCGGTTTTCTCTACAGCAATGTTCTTAAAATTTATTTTTTTCATAGCAACCACGTTGAAAAATAATGAAACAAAAAATAAAAAAATACATACTGGTAGCTTGCAAAAAGTTGATGTAAATTTTAGTTTAGTGAGACTGGACTGGCATTAACAGCTTAATTTTGTGTAACCCTTGATAGTTTTGGAAGCACAGATAAGTAAACTTCTACAAATATTTTTAGTAACATAATGATAATTGATTTGCTGATTATTCTTTTTAAATGTTGTAGTACCAGATACTTTTTAGGTAAAAATATTCTGTACTTTTGTTGTTGTTTGTTTATTTCTTGTTTGTTTGTGTCTTGAGCTCAGGGCCCATGCTCTTACTCTCTTGTTCAGATTTCTTTCTCAAGGCTGGCCCTTTACCACTTGAGCCAAGCCTCTAATCTGAGTTTTGGTGATAAGTTGGAGATGGAGTCATGAGGACTTTTCTGCCCAGACTAGCCTCAAACCACAATCTTCTAAGTCTTAGCCTCCAAACATTAGTTTGCCTTTTTAAGGGAGTTAAGTCAGAATTCCTCATTTTGATTACTTTAATAAACCTTGGTTTGGTATGCTTAATTTACATACATTTATTTTGACTCTTTTCTTTCTCTTCTTTCATCTTTTTCTTTTCTTCTGTTGTCTGAGAACTGGACTCAAACTTGGTATCTGCCACTTTCGCTCATTGGCACTCTACCACCTGAGCCATGCCACCAACCCTTTCACTTATTTCTTTCCTCTACCATTTTATAACCTATAAAATGGTGGGGATTTTAGGGTGGTCACTTAGGCTTTTCTGTGAATAATTGGGACAGTACTGCTTAGTTCTAAGTCATAGAAAATGGATTTGTTTCTATGATATTAGCTGCATTTACCTTGAGAAGACTATTTGCCGAGGTAGTCTTAAGCTTTTAATAGGAAAAGAGACTGCTTGAAATATTTATTCTAAGGATAAAAATAAAGATGATGCAAACAGACTCCCCATCTCTAGAAATCAGAGTAATAAGTTAGCGTGTACAAAGGCCTGTGCAAAGGGTAAGGTAGCTACTAAAGAGCCATTTTATATATACATATTTATATATTATATTTATAGAAATATATATACAGTTGGCACATATATAAGTCAGAAAAACCTACCAGTACTAGTCTTGATTTGTAGCATGCAGTGTGTAACTGCATCTGTCTTCTGTTTTGAGTATTTCACAGCCTTTTAATATCTTTCCTTCCTGTTGTACTTTAGGCATTTATGGTATTGACATTTATTAGCTGTAATATTTACTTAGTCTTAAAGTACTGCTCAGTTCTTTGTAAGTGCTAGACTGTAATGTCTAGTTCCTGGAAATAGACAGGGAGACAAAGTAGATTTTTAGATAAATTTGTAGGGCTTAAGAGGAGGCATTATTTGCTGTGTTTAATCTACACACCTACAAAGTGCATATTCTGTTTTTCTTTTTTATTATAATGGTGATGTACAGAGGAGATACAGTTTTATAAGTCAGATAATGAATGCATTTCTTACTGGACATTATCACCCCTTCCCTTTCTCCTGGGATTTGAACTCAGGGCTGGTGTACTGTCCCTGAGAGCCTTTTTTTTTTCTTCCTCAAAGCCAGTATTCTCCCACTTCAGCTACAGCTCCCTCTGGCTTTTTAGTAGTCAGTGTAAGCGTCTCACAGACATTCCTGCCCTGGCTGGCTTTGAACCATGATCCTCAGATTTCAGCCTCCTAAGTAGCTAGGATTACAGATGTGAGGCACTGGTGCCTGACTGTGTATTCACCTTTAAGATGTGGAAACTTGGGGTCTGAGAGCTTGATGAACTTACCAGGATCACACAGACCTATAGATACCTTATTTCTGCCTGTCTTTTCTTGAGAGTGGTTGATTGGCCATACATAGAAATGTTTTCCTGAAGAAAGCCTGTGGTTTGTTTATACTTGATCTACTATATCAGGACAGTCACCCAGGGCTGTACCTGCCAGGATCACCCACAGCAAATGGGACACCTATAGTTCCTATGTAAAAAGGAGTCCTTTTGTGTCTATTCATATCTTTTAGTTTGAAATGTCTTTCCCATGTCTTGTCATTTGTATAAATCTCATACTTACTTCAAAACCCACCTCAAGTTTTACCTGACCTATAAAGTTGTTTTGACCTCAGTGACCCTAGGTAGAACCTATTTACCCAGTGCCAGAGCACATGGCTTTGCCCTCTGTGGTTTTTTTTTTTTTCCCCTGTCTGCTCTTCTGGATGCTTGCTGTCCAGTACTAGATTGCAGTATTGGTTTTTTTTTTTTTGGGTCCGGTCGTGGGGCCTGAACTCTGGGCCTGGGCACTGTCCCTCAGCTCTTCAGCTCAAGGCTAGGGTTCTACCACTTGAGCCACAGCGCCGCTTCCGGCTTTTTTCTTTTTGCTTATGTGGTGCTGGGGAATCGAACCCAGAGCCTCAGGCATGCAAGGCAAGCGCTCTACCACTGAGCCACCTTCCCAGCCCCTGCAGTATTGTTTAATGTAGTCTTATATTCCAGAGTCAGAGTCCTTGGTATTTCAAACTTTAGAAGTTTCCAGATTTTAGAAGCGTGAGAGGATGCACGTTCTGGGACAGCATGGAACAGCAGAAATAGCTGCTGTGGAATATATGAATGTCCACCGCAGGGAATAAATGAAGTCTTAGCAAGAGCTTACTGATAGGTCTGCTCAGGTCAGGTTTGGCTCTCAGTGAGTTACAAGAAGTGTTTTCACTTTCAGAGCTAGTTGAAATTTAGGGTTTTCAATAATAGAATTGTAGACACAGATTTTTTTTTTGTCAGTAGTGAGACTTGGACTTGGGGCCTGGGTGCTGTTCCTGAGCTTTTTTGCTCAAGGCCAGTGCTCTACCACTTTGAGCCACAGTAGGACTTCTGGTTTTCTAGTGGTTGATTGGAGATAAGGGTTTCACAGTCTTTCCTGCGTGGGCTGGCTTTGAACTGTGATCCCCAGCTTCCTGAGTAGGTAGGATTACAGGCATGAGTCTGATGCACTCAGTCGTATTGACTTTTAGGAAAATAAACTATTTCAGAAAAAATATCTAATAGTTAATGTCTATGATGCTTTGTGATTTTCTTTTGACTTCTTTTCATTTATAGAATTGATTCCTTTGCCACCTTTCAAAAATGACTTCTGTGGGGTATGTATGTGGGTGGTGTATGTGTGTGTGATCAATTGACCTATCTTGTCATTCTTAACTAGCAGATGAAAATGTTTGGCATGAATTTTAGAGATTATTGTACTTGATTTGTCCCATTTTTGACTAGTGTTGGCCTCTTTAAGTTTTCTCTTGAATTCTTTAGACATGAACTTGTCTTTGGTAATTTTCTTATTATCTGTAGTGATTTTTCTAGCTTATCTTTCCCAAACTTTTCTAGCTTAAGATCTGGAATCAATCATTTTTTCAATAAGTCCCAGTTTCTTTTAGCATGAACAATATTGTAAGATGTTCATTTCTGTTGAACCTCACTACAGGCTTTCAACCTACCTCCTCCCCTTCCCCCCGCACCCCCCCCCCCCCCCGCCCCCTCCGCCAGTTGAGCGTTGGTGGCTCACGCCTGTAATCCTAGCTACTCAGGAGGCTGAGATCTGAGGATCATAGTTCAAAGCCAACCGCGGGCAGGAAAGTCTGTGAGAAGCTTATCTCCAATAAACCACCAGAAAACAGGAAGTGGTGCTGTGGCTCAAGTGGTAGAGCGCTGCTAGCCTTGAGCTGAAGAGCTGAGGGACAGCGCCCAGGTCCCCCTCCCAAAGCCCCCAAACCTGTCCCCCCGCAAAAAAAAAATCTCCTGCCTTACATGCTTTGACCTTTATTTTGAAATTATTTCAGACTCACAGAAAAGATAAAAAGTAGTACTGAGTCCTTTTTTGTCCTGCATTTCCCTGACATAAACATCATGCATATATAGCCATACTATAATTATGAAACTAGGAAATTAATAATTCCTTAAACATTGTTAAGCCCTAGGTCTTATTTACTATAGCAGTGTTTTTTGATAATGATGCTTCCTGACTTACACTGATAATTTCCTTCTGAGCTCAGAACTGGAGGCTCATAGCCTCTTTGGTATTATATCTGGTTCTTTTTTTCTTCCATATTAAAAATGTTGGTTCTTAAAGACACAGAGGGACATTGGTGTATTCCAAAAGTGATAATTTAACTTTATCCCAAATAATACACACAACAATTTAGAGTAATAATGCAGTAGTACCCTGTCATTGTGATCACTGAAAACAGTT